CACAGGTAACTATTAGTGTTTTTACTGATAACCACAGGTAACTATTAGTGTTTTCCTGAAGATTACATGTAACTACTAGAGTTTTTTTCCTGATAATCACAAGTTATTATTGCATGTCACATATACAAAATGAGGCATTTTTACTTGTATTACAGGCTTTGAAAACAACAGTTATGTAAAAAAAATAATCATATAGTAACTATTAAATAAATATTTCCAAAGGTAAAGGTTTGGAATGAAATCCAAGTTAAAAACCATAAGGAACCCTGGTGTTGACGCTTGGTATTAATGTACCTCAACTAGTGTCTAAAACGGACGTGTCGCCCTCTAATGTCTAAATTTGTATACCAAGAAAGTTGAAGGGTGGAAGCACGGGAGTTTTATTCTTATTGTTTAATGACAAATATATGTAACATTCTTAAAAATGATTAAATTATGAAGTTAGAGTATATATTTAATGTTTGTGATTTTCCACTGAATTTCAACAGCATGTACATATACATTAATATTTGTGTGTGTGTGTGTTTTCTCTCTCTCCCAGTTGTAGATCAAACTTTGTTTTGCAATAGTTATAAATGTAGAGGTCATGGATATATATAGGAAATATAACAGTATGGTCTCTTTTAGCTTCTTTCGGCATGGGAAAAATATGATACGTGTATCACACGATTACTTTATGCCGTTTTAGGCCAACGAAAACTAGGCCTAACGCAGATTCGATTTCAAACACAGAGACCATTACCAATCAGGGTATTGCATGGATGCAACGTGTGTGTTCTTGAAGGATTTGTTGTTCATGTTCATAAAAACGTGTGGTCTGTTTTGTAATGTGTAATCAATTACTGAATATTGCTTGAAAATATATATGTGTATATGTTGCACTTAAGAGAGTCGTGTACTGAATTATTAGCCGTATTAATTAGGCTAATTAACTCAATGAAACCATGCTTATTCTGTTAAACAACCAGCTCATACACAAGTATTGCCGAATGTCGTTTCCACGGTGACACTATAAAACAGCTGTGATGATTGTCTTACAGTTGAACTATCGCTTGCATAATATTTCAAAAGGGCTAACTCATAAACATGAAAATGTGTTTAATTTAACAGTTGGATTCAAACAAGGATGGGGAAAAAAAAGAGTTCACAAAAGTAAATATTTCTTTATTCTCACCTCTAACTTAAAACGATAAAAAAATTGAATTTGAATTAAATAAAACACGATGTTTGTGGTTAAACCATGATGCAAGTCATACATCTAAAATATGTCAAATAACATCTTTAAAGTCTATGAATCAGCGTATATGTCTGTAATATGATGTATATAGTATACAAACAGTTAATCCATATTATAATATACTGAAAAATACAAAGTTAATATATACAAAAAATTGTTTGAAACAAAATAATTAATTAATTCGGACAAGAATACATTTAAACAATATAAAGTTAATCTATACAATTGTTTGAAACAAAATAATTAATTAATTCGGACAAGAATACATTTAAACAATATAAAGTTAATCAATACAATAATTGTTTGAAACAAAATAATTAATTAATTCGGACAAGAGTACATTTAAACAATATAAAGTTAATCTATACAATAATTGTTTGAAACAAAATAATTAATTAATTCGCACAAGAATACATTTAAACAATATAAAATTAATCTATACAAAAAATTAATCCATATAATATCTGATTAAATAAAAATTTATATTAAACAATAGTTCGACAAAACAGTAAACAGTATTCCGCATAGCAACCTTTTGAAACAGCAAATATTTCAACAAAATAATAATTTTTTGCATTTGAGTATTTACAATAAAAATGAAACAATTTGAAATAAAGTGGGTGAAACCTAAGTGAAAAATACAAACGTATTTGGCCCGGCATGGCCAGGTGGTTAGGGAGCTCGACTCGCAACTCGTATTCTCTATAATACAAACCACCTTCTCTATAATACAAACCACCTTCTGTATAATACAAACCACCTTCTGTATAACACAAACCACCTTCTGTATAATACAAACCACCTTCTGTATAACACAAACCACCTTCTCTATAATACAAACCACCTTCTGTATAACACAAACCACCTTCTGTACAATAGAAACCACCTTCTCTATAATACAAACCACCTTCTGTATAACACAAACCACCTTCTGTACAATAGAAACCACCTTCTCTATAATACAAACCACCTTCTGTATAACACAAACCACCTTCTGTACAATAGAAACCACCTTCTGTATAACACAAACCATCTTCTGTACAATAAAAACCACCTTCTCTATAATACAGACCACCTTCTGTATAACACAAACCACCTTCTGTACAATAGAAACCATTTTCTCTATAATACATACCACCTTCGCTATAATACATACCACCTTCTCTATAATACAAACCACCTTCTGTATAATAGAAACCACCTTCTCTATAATACAAACCACCTTCATGTAATCTAAATCTCTATTTTTTTTAACACAGACTGGTCCTTACTTGTCGATGAACAGATATTTTCTTGTGTAATCCAAAACATGATTCCAAATGTTTATCATACTTCGAACTTAAAACCTTGTTATTCACCGCTAAGATGCTCTTGTCGACAAAGCCATCAGTAATATACAAACAAAGACCGCGCTGTTAGTTCTTCTGGAACGTAGGGAAAGAACCCGCCCACAAACTTGAGAATCAAGTAGCTGAAAAGTAAGTAAACCAAAAAATAAAAACTACAAGCGACCATTAAACGAAATCTATCATGTTATAAATATATTAGAGACCAAATAATTACATTAAATGAAGTTCAAGTAAGACGAGGGAACAAATAGTCGCCTAGAGACAAAAGATAACCAAAACCTGATCATTTCGAGATACTTAGTTAAGTGAATAAGGACATAATCCAACCAGAACCTGATCATTTTCAGATAGTTAGTGAAGTGAATAAGGACAAAGTCCAACCAGAACCTGATCATTTTAAGTTAGTTAGTCAAGTGAATAAGGACAAAGTCCAACCAGAACCTGATCAATTTAAGATAGTTAGTCACGTGAATAAGGACAGAGCCCAACCAGAACCAGGTAATTAGGCACGTAAATAAATACCATTACCAACCAGAACCTGATCATTTTAAGATAGTTAGTCACGTGAATAAGGACAAAGTCTAACCAGAACCTGATCATTTTAAGATAGTTAGTCACGTGAATAAGGCCAAAGCCCAACCAGAACCAGGTAATTAGGCACGTAAATAAATACCATTACCAACCAGAACCTGATCATTTTAAGATAGTTAGCCACGTGAATAAGGACAAAGTCTAGCCAAAACCTGATCATTTTAAGATAGTTAGTCACATGAATAAGGACAGAGCCCAACCAGAACCTGATCATTTTAAGATAGTTAGTCAGGTGAATAAGGCCAAAGCCCAACCAGAACCAGGTAATTAGGCACGTAAATAAATACCATTACCAACAAGGACTTGATCATTTTAAGACAGTTAGTCACGTGAATAAGGACAGAGCCCAACCAGAACCTGATCATTTTAAGATAGTTAGTCACGTGAATAAGGACAGAGCCCAACCAGAACCTGATCATTTTAAGATAGTTAGTCACGTTAATAAGGACAGAGCCCAACCAGAACCAGGTAATTAGGCACGTAAATAAATACCATTACCAACCAGAACCTGATCATTTTAAGATAGTTAGTCACGTGAATAAGGACAGAGCCCAACCAGAACCAGGTAATTAGGCACGTAAATAAATACCATTACCAACCAGAACCTGATCATTTCCAGATAGACAGTTACTTGAATAAAGACAAATGCTAACCAAAGTTTGATTTTTTTATTTTTGAAAAAAAAAAGAAGATAAAAACGTGAATTAGAAAATCGCCAACCAAATCATGATCATTTTCAGACAAACACTTGAAACAGGATCAAAATGTCGTCACTTCTGGATGGGTAATCATGTAGAACGATATGGGGCGTGTTCATTTCTGTTGTGATTATAGAATATAATCCTACCTACATCCCCTCCCCCCCCGTTACAACGCTAGAATCCGGATTTCGATACCCGTGGTGGGCAGAACACAGATAGACCATTGTGTAGCTTTGTGCTTAATTAGAAACAA